GAGTTACTCTGGCTTTAGCTGGGTAGATTTTCTGTTTGAATGGGACGGTTTCTTTTTCTGAGCTGATCATGCCCTTGATTTCCATGTTTTCTGTAAATTCCAGCTTGGCAATTCCCTCAAAGCACTTCTTCAAGTGTGGCTGGACTCGTAGAGGATCCTTCGTCTCGGATAAAATCTCCAGCAGCTCATCATTGGACAGGAAGAAGAACCTATTGAAAGCAAGGGAACATAGCAACAGGAGCCTCTTCTGTGAACTTCCACTTCCAATCAGGTGATACTGCCCCACAGATAGGTCACACCCAGGTGATCATCAGATACATCCTAGAATCTTCTCTAAGGCCCACACCCTTTGCCATTTTTCACTAGAAGATGGAAATGGTGTTGACTCAGAGAATACGAGAAAGTATGAAAGCTGGTACGTATGAGCTTAATATGTTTGTTTTTTAGGGGGGAGGTATTGAAAGAAGCCTGTGGTTCTCAACTTTGGGGTGCACATTAACATCACCTGGGGAGCTTATCAAAATACCAATGCCCAGGCCTCACTGCTCAGAGATTCTGATAGAGTTGATTATGGACTGGGTCTGGGGATTTATATCTTTAAAATTCCCAGATTATTTTAATGTGCAGTCAGTGCTGAGAAGAAATGAGCAGGAGAAGATGTGAGAAAATAGGACTTTGTCTTTTGTTACCTCTAGGTATTGCAGAAAACGTTACAAATTTGAAACAAGAAGTGCACATTACAAACCTATTTACATACACAATCCTTTACCATGATTTAAAATAGAGACAATAAAACAACTTTGTTCTCTTGTTCACACCTTGAAAGCTGCAAATCTTCAAAACAATCTCTATTGTGACCACAGGAGGAAAGTCCACAGTGGAAGGACCATGTTAGTATGGGCTTCATTCTATGTGACGGATTACAAAACCTTAAACCTGGGCTGGCTTTGTCTGGCCAACCAACAGACTGTGATGAACATGAGTTTGGGCAAGTTCTGAGCCTAGGCATCAAGAGGTCTTGAAGCTTCCACTCGTGCTCCTGGGAGCCCTATAACCACCACTATGTGAATAAAGCCAGGCTAGCGTGGAGGATGAAAGCCATGTAGCCAGCCAACGTCAACCACCAGACGAATGACTAAGGCCAGCAGCTGCCAGTTACATGTAGTCACATGACTGAGCCCCAATGAATCCAAAAGAACCACCCATCTGAGCCCAGGCCATTTGCCAACCCACAGAATTCTGAGCTAAATAAAATGGTTATTAACCACTGCCCTGGTGGTTAGCTGTGGCCCAGTGCTCAGCTGCTAACTGGAAGGTCAGCACTTTAAACCTACCAGCCACCCTGAAGTAAAAAGATAGCAATTTGTTCCTGTATAGACTGCTGTCTTCAAAGCCCTGCGGGGCAGTTCTACTCTGCCCTATAAGGTCACTATGAGTTGGAACTTACTTGATGGCACCGCAATGGGTTTTTAAGCTTCTAAGTTTTGGGGCAGTTTGTTAAACAATAGGAGCCTTGGTGGCTCAATGGTTAAGTGCTCAGCTGCTAGCCAAAAGGTTGGCAGTTTGAACCCACCAGCTGCTCTGTGGGAGAAAAGACTGGCAATATGCTCTCATAAAGATTTCAGCCTACATGATTCCTTAAAAAGTTGGAAATAGAAATACCATTTGACCCAGCCATTCCATTACTAGGCATATACACTAAAGAAGTGAGAGCCATGACAAGAACAGATATATGCACACCCATGTTCATCGTAGCACTATTTACAATAGCCAAAACATGGAAACAACC